GGGAATTTCCAAGCAACTGCTGGGATCTCCACCCCGAGCTCGAGCTGCCTGCCCTGGTATATCTCAGCTGAGCTGGAACAGGCAATGGTCAAAGTCTGACTCAAATATCCAGCCTCTCCTAGGCAATCCCAAATTATAAGATGCAGGAGCAATTCTCTCCCCACATGGGAAATGAAAAGAGATGAGTGGGTTATGGGGATAAACAGTTGTTCTTCACTGCAGTTGTGTGATCTGCTAGGTATGGGAACTGCAGTTCTGCTGTCTCTCTCCTCTCTTGGAGGAAAATCCTTCCATCACTCACTGAACTGCATTTATCATGTAGAAAAGAGAAATTCTGAGCCACAAAAATGTATAACAATATGTGCAAGCTCTGAAAATCAAGATCTTTATGGAAAATAAAGCTTCTGGGACAAAATCTCTCTTCTGTGTTTAGGTTAGTGCAGCCTTGTATTAATATTAAGATGTTTGATGCTGTGAGGGACGTAGCACCCAAATTCATTCACTAGCAGTGCTTCTTCTTCTCTTTCCTCACCCATGATCTATCTCTCAGTTGCCAACATAAATAATACTCATGTTACAGTAATGTCCTGTGGCTCCAAACTGGGGGAACTTCACTGCATAAGGTGCTGAGCAAACATGTATGGAGGCACAATCCTGTCAAATGTTATCCAGGTCATACAATCTGTATCTATATTCCTCCCTGTAGAGAACACACTCAGCTCGGCAAATGCTTGGCCTGCTTCTGTATGTGACACTGAATGTCAGTGAGTGACATCTCACAGATGATACTTTATTGGTAGAGCAGGTGCTGGTGGCAAGAACTATATTTATACAGCAGAGGTCTAAAAATGGCTCTGTGCTTAACAGGTCTCAGTCACTTCCAAATCAAATCTGAGTCTTTCGTAAGACCTTTCTCCCCTTCCTTCACTGCTCACAAAGTTTCACCAGAATGAGAAAGCCAAGGGGTGCTTCCCTGGAACCCCAGAATAAATACAGGATATAGAATCCATATCCTTTAAAGGAAAGGAGGTGTGCCTGTCAGAGGACTTTCCAGATCCATACATCACAGGGCAATCTTTTTCACAGGATAGAAGGCAAACACTGTAACATCAGCACTGCAGCAGCTTCTGGTTGTCACAGCCCAAGATTTCCAGTAGTCAAAAGCACATGAACATATAATCATGAACCAAGCAACACTGTGCATTTTTGGCATGTCACCCCTCTGTGATAACACTGCCTATGCAGACCCAGTCAGAGGAAAATGTGAGATAACCTCTGTTGGAGTGGCAGGAGTAAGCACATGTGTGCAGCACTCTCTGGAGGATACTGGACTACCCTGGGGTCACTTCTCTGTTTGCCCTTGTCCTGTTACATTTTCTCTCATAAGCACCCTAAACTGTCAAAGCAGTTTGCACTTCAGGCAAAAGGCACATTTCTGGGAGCCAGAAGGTAACTTGGATCTCTTCAAATGATGTCCAGCCACCAGCACACCATCTGCAGTGTTTGGGATTTGATGACTGACCTTAAAACTGCACTTTTATATGAAGGTCTTTCCAGCTGTTAGAATCCAACACCCTGTGCAGAGGTTAAGTCTGGATTTACACAGAGAACATCCTCGACAAGGCAGAGAAGCAGTTGAGGCATTTTAGTCTGTGCCCAAGATGTAAGTTTAATTTTGTTTTCCTGGAGGTAGGTTTCATATGATCCACCTGTGGATATGTGCTGGGTGCAAGAAAAGGTGATGAGATACTGGTCTACTGGCCAAAAAAAACGCTGCTTTTTGCTCAAGTTAAATTGAAAAGTATTGCCAGACCTCAGCTTGTAATATGCTATTTAATTACACTTTCCACATGCTGCCTAGAGTAATGCTAGTCTGAGTGTGGTCCATGGTAAATACGAGGGACCAAACTTTAAACTTACATCAGGAAACCCATTTGGTCATTCCTCAGAAACTAAACAACAGGGAGTTTTTAAAAAAATCTTTAAGAAACTATATTGTGGCTGCAGGACCTGTCAGTGTCAACAAAGTAATTTGCTATTTTGGGCAACATATAAAACCTCTATATTTCGTTTTGTTTCCGTTTTCCACCTCCACTTGCAGCCGAGACATGTGAATGGTCAGAATAGTCTCACTGAAATCAGGAGGACAACTCGTGGGCTTAGAGGGAGGCACATGGTGGAGGGCTTTTACCAAATCACCCTCCAACACCAGATGCTGGAAGGCACAGCGTTGGTAGCTGCTGGCAGCTGACCTGAAGAAGTTAAGCTGAGCAGTGAATGGAGCCCCCCAGGCTCCGCAGCTCAGCTTCCTTTCCTCTCTTTGGTACAAAATATTTTAAAAGAAACTGAGACCAGCAGTTTTTCCCAAGCCAACAAAAACAAAAGCACTTGCAGCACGGTGAGGTGCAGCATGCCTGCCTGACTCCAGCCTGCTATGCCAGGGAATCAGAGGGATGGATGGCTGATGAACAGCAATTGAAAGATGGGTACAGAGGCCACAGCACCGTGGCTGAGGTTCAAATCCAGACCAATGAGATATCCACAAGAACTATTGCAATTGTCAGCAGTGGAGAAATGCAATTTGTGATTTGCAGCCTAGCTCCTTAAAACAAAACAAACAAACAACAACAAAAAAAAAAAGCAAATACCTCAGCTGTGTTAGCTACCTGGTCAGGGAATGGCTGCCATATAATGTTGATATAAACCCCACAGGTCAGGCAAGTTCCACTGGATGGGTTTGATCAAGGACCAGTGCATCTTTAGGAATGTGAGTCAACTGGAAACAGATGTTTTCATTCTGTGGTGCTGTAGAAGCAAAAGTGCCTCCCCTCTGTCCTTTTGCCATCTTTTCTAATCTTCAGATATATTTCTAATACATTTTTTCATCTCATTTTATCCGTGTGTGTTAAAGCATTCCTGCTGTACACTCCTCAAGTGGAGGGAAAAGAAAGAGAGAAAATGCCAGCAGATCAGTCCACAAATAACCAAACCACTTACAAACCTACCATCAACAAACTCTTCTCATAAAACTTCCTTTCTCAGTGGAAATCCCAACCTCACCCACTAAAGTCCTTCCCAAAAGCACTGCAATTGGCACAGTGTTCTGATTGTATTAAGAAATTTAGGTTATTCCAGAACAAGAAAGAACGGAAAAAAGCCCTGAGCCCTTTGGAAAAAGTGACCTTCTTGGAGCTCTGTTACTGTCAAGAAAGGGGAATTAAGAAAGGGGGACTCAGTTTAGACACTTTAGTGACACTCCACTGAAGCAGGCAAGTCTGTCGGAGAGTCCACACCTGAGACAAGGAAAATTCACCTGGTGTTATTTTCTTTTTTACATTATTTAGGAGAAAGAGATGCCCATTCCCTCTCCACTGCTGCAGTTCTCTGTCAGGTTCCTCTCATGCAGAACCATCCAGACAAGCACCACCAACCAACCCTGCATCTTTCCTGCTCTGGTCCTCCTCCTGGATTGTGTGTCAAACTCTGTCCCAGGATGGTTTCTGCTGACACACCAAGTCTACCTGTAATAATTACCCCCAGTTATTCTGCTTTAATGCCCTTTTTGCATCCAATTTCCCACCATCACTACTAGAGACCCACCAGTACTACCAATCTGCTCACATCTTCTCACCCTCTGGTATTCAGGATGACAAGTTGTTCCACCTTTCCTCATCCAAATTCCTCCTTAATGCTCACACTGTCATTACCAAAATAAAGTAATTAAGGATCAGTTGGATCAGTTATGTGTTCTTGTTATAAGTTATGGCACTGCAAGAGCTGTTCCTGGGCAGGAAAGAATAGAAAAAAAAAAAAAAAAGAAAAAGAAAAAAAATCCTTCTTATTTGTATTTTGAAGGGAAATCTAGGAAATAGGAGAGGGTGTGCTCAGACCATATTCATCTTCATCTCAGGTGAGGTCCGAAGTGTGGGGAGGGATATGAAACATACCTCAAGAAGGAGAAAAAGCCTAGGCAGAATATCAGGCTTCAGATGCAAATAATTGGAAAATGCTTGTCCTAGGGCCTGACAGGGATCATAAAGAGTTTGTCTCCACTCTGATGGCCACTAACTCTTACTGGGTTGAGTAAAACCATGTGTGGGACAATTTGTTAAAGAGCTCATTTGTTAGAAAGAAGTATTTTTATGAAGGAGAGTAAGATGTGCCTTGTTCCCACAACTATCTACACCCTTCTCCTCATGTTGCCACTTGTGTCAGACAGCTCTGTACACATTAAAGTTACCCTGAGCTCTGACTCGATCAGTGAGTCAATGGCTCCCTGGAAACTGGTGAGAAGAGACCTGTGGATGCTCAGGAAACCTTTGGAGAGTCTATATGAAGCTTCAAGGTTAAAAGAAAACCAGAAAGAAAGCAAGTCGTTTGTGATTTTGCAGCATAAGGGTCACATGTGAAATTTCCTGATCTCTACTCTCTTTTGGGGTCCCTTCTTTATCTCTTTTGTATAGGAAAATTAAAAATAAGTTTCCATTTAATTCCTTTTCTCATCAGAACTTGGTTGATGGACAAATAAATCAATTTACAAAATGGTGAAATGTTTCTTTCTCACTCATCCTAGGTTAAGTATGAAAATCTAACCTTCTTGTTCTCATCTATCCAGGTCCCTCCTTTTCTCATGCAATAAATGAACAAAAAAATCCTACCCGTTACCTCTCTCCCTTTCAAATTTCTCTTCAAGTTAGGAGAGGTAAAAATGACCTACTGCAAGAGCGGGTAATAAATTACAGCCAAAATGGCAAAAGAAAAATATTTCTCCTCTAAATATGTTGTTTTTCACTTTGTGTGTCTTGGCAGTTTAACCCTCTGAAAACACCCACCTGAATTCTCTGCACTCAACAAAGCAGCCCAAGGATAAACCCTCCAGTAAATCCTATGTGACTGAAGATATAGGAGCCTGACTGTGAGTAGAAACATTTTAAATATGATTGCTATACCTGTTAGTAACCAAAGAGCCCTTTTGGAGCAAATAATTTTCCTTGGAAACATCTGAATCCAATCATCCAAGCCTGGGAGCCCACGTTTAGGTAATACCACTGCTCTCCTCTTTGCATTGTCTGTCCCCTGCCTCAAAAGAAAAGAGTTTGTCCTGTCCATCCATCATTTAAATGGTAATGAGCTAAATGAATTCCACCTCACTTCTGAGCTTCAGAGTAAGCTTGGGTTTATTTATTCATTTAAAGGCATGGGAACTGGTTTGACATTGCTGAAACATGTCCCAGATTTATGGAAAATAAAACTGTACTAATCTGGTGCGTTTATTAGCTTTTCTGTCGGATGCCTCCTTGAGTATTCAGAGATGTGAGTTTGCCCTGCAGTTCTGTTCTGACTGGAACAGCATCTCCTGAAATGTAAATGTTATCTTAAGGTCATATGCTGATGAAAACCCCTGTTTTGCCAAAGTCTAATTTCTTGGTCATTTGACAAAGCAGCTGCTGTGCAGTTACAGGGCACAAAGAAAGCCATGAAAGATGGATAAGTTACATGTTTGATTTGGCATATATTATACTGCTTATAAAGATAAAAATTATGAGGGATGATTATTTTTCCTGATTTAGCTCAGTAAATAAAAGACCTCTCACGAATATATACACAGCAATGATACTTTTGAGTGAAATTGTTCAGCTTCACCTTATGCAGTCCTCTGAGCGCTTCTGTGACGCATTTTAAAGGGTCAACACAAATATCCTAACGTGTGATAAAATTTATTTGCGGCATCATAGATTGGGATGGAGAAAAAATTCCTGATTTGGAGGAGAATACAGAGATTAGACATTTGTAAATGTTATGTGACAACAAGCTCTGCAGCTGATGTACATTAAGGAAAATAAAAATTACAAGGTTTAGGTAACCAACAGCTGGTGTCAGCTGGTATGGTACCACATCAGTGCCTCCAAGGTCTGTGAAGATTATTTTTTACCATCTGGAGGCTATCTAGCATTGGTCAATGTCAGAAGTACAATACTGAGGGCTTCTGCTGCTGCTTTGACAAACCAGGACAAATGCTCACTTGTGCAAGTGGGGAACATGCGGTGTGGAGAAAGACAATAATGTGACATGTTTTAGGAGGTGGTGCTGTCAAATCTGGTCATTCCAGGCTTTTTTGAGTGTGTGAGAAAGTGCTGATGGGGGAATCACAGTGCAGGGATGTGAGTTTTGGGTTACACAGAGGTCCATGTCCAGGAAGAGCTGGAGTGTTCAAGCTGTAGCAGGGTTTGGTCTCCATGTTTGAGCTCTGAGGAGTCAGTTCTGGAAGCAGAGATGCACCTGAGAGCTCAGTGTCTGGTGATGGATGGGGAGGAAAGTGTTGCCTGCACAGTGTTTGACCTTCATCTTGCAAGGATAAATGTCAAATATCCTCAGAAAAATATCAGCAGTGTTTTCTCTCACCAAAAATTCCTCTAATTCAGGAATAATTGGTACTTTGCAACAAAGAATTAAGAAACCCCTGGAGTTTTCTTTTCCTCCCTTCCTCCTCTTCTGTTTTCTTTTCCTCCCTTTCTAGTTATGAAGTTCAGAGAGGTTCCAAGTGACAAACACAATTTAGCATTTCAGATAAGACTTTACTTATGCAGCACATCCAGCATTCATTTACACATTAACCCTGTCACTACCCAAGGAGGTAGGAGAGTTGCCCCAGTGAGAAATAAGCATAAGTAATAAAGAAGAACTCATTTTCAGATAAGAAATTCACTCAGAAAGAATAAGAATAATTCAATATTCAAAGAAAGATACATTCTTCTAAAAATTTGTCTAGCAAGTTGGCAGGGCATCTCCCTTTCCCAATTACTTACAACTTTGACAGGTTACATCTCAAAATTTAGTTTCCAGATCAAGATTTGGGATCAAAAAGCCTCTTGGATATATTTTAAAGACTAGGCCAAGCATCTTGTGTTTAATGATTGCATCATTCATTTGAGGGATGTGTGGTCCTCCCAGTCAGCTGCAGACAAAGAAGGACTTCCCTTCTTTGGGACAAACGAGGGTTTTTTGCAAGGGATTGGGTGGGACTTCATCTTTTCTCAAGGAAGTTTTCCCTGTTTGCTTGTGACTGCCACTAGTCTACTAAGAATACAGGAATAGCAACTGAGCTCGCTGTGTGCCTCAGTTTCCTAACACAATATCATTCACCTTCCCTATGGAGGACTCTTTTTTTATTTACAAATTAAAAATATTTATTAATAATCAAGAACAAATACAGGCTGGGTGGAGAATGGATTGAGAGCAGCCCTAGGGTGGGATATTGGTGGACAAGAAGCTCGTCATCACCTGGTAAAGTGCAGTGACAGCCCAGAAACCCCCTGTGCCCAGGGCTGATCCCACAATGTGGGCAGCAGAGAAGGGGGGGATTTTGCCCCTCTGCCCCATCAGGTGAGACCCCCCTACAGAGCTGCCCCCAACCCTGGGGAACAACAGCACAGGGACATGGAGCTGTTGTGACAAGCCCAGAAGTCCAGAGGTGGCCACAAAGCTGATCGGAGCGATGGAGCACCTCTCCCTTACAGCAAAGGGTTGATTAAAGGTCCCTTACAGCCCAAATCACTAGAGGATTCTGTGACAGCTTCAGCTGTCAGCCCACCCAGTTGACCTGCTGCAGTCTCTGTGGGATGGGATGGTACTGCCTGCAGTTTTTTTTCTCAGTACAGGCCTCTACCATGATAAGAACATACTGCACTTTGTGTGTCTCTTACAAAATTTAATTCACATGCTGAGGCTTCCTGCTCTTGCAATTTGCTTTTTTGAATTAGCCAAGATACCTCTCTGTGGCACATAATTCTTGTGAAACTCCTAAAAATAAGTAACTAACTAAATAAATAAGCAGGCTGGAATTCATTACTGAAATCAAGTAACAGCCCAGCAGAAAATTCAGCAATAAAACATCCATGTAGTAAACCAACAATATTTGCAGTAAACCATGAGCTGAGAGAAGGCTTGATATAATAGGTTCTTCCACTCATGAAATACCATAACTTGGCTGTCAAAAATATAGCAAGCCACAAACTGAGCTAAAAGAGAATTGCTGCAAGGCAACTGCACAGCACCTTGTCCTTGCTTGAGGTAATCCCTCTTTGGGCAGAGCGCATTCCTTCTCCAGAGCTCCAAGTACGGAAAGGAGAGATCACCAAAGGAGCCTGGTGATGAAGTAAGGCTTATGTACATCTTCTCTACCTACACAGGCTTTATGTCACCCTTATGGTCCCAAAATATCCACTTAACATCCAGCTACTTTTAAGGTGTAAAAAGTGAATGATATGGCGCTCCTCATCATAGAAAAACCTCATAGTTTTTGTATATAATTCCTCTGCCTCTCCAGCATTTACACTCTGGATCTTTTTCCATTGCTATATAGAGCTTTGCTCTTTACCATCCCCATTTTAAGGCCAAAGGATCATCTTGCCTAGATCACCTATGTCACAGGTTACTAAGTTTCACCCAACTGCTCCCAAGGTTGATTCCAGTAATTGATGTCAAGTGAAAATTCTCTTCCAGAGAGACATCCAGCTTTGATTTCCAGGAAGGATGAAACAGAGAACATGCTGCTTTCCTTAGCAGTTTGTTCTGGCTTGTGATCTTCCCCACTCCAAATCACACTGGTCCTCTTTTGTCTGATGAAAGAGCTCTTTTCCAAACATGTTCTTCTCTTCATACAAATATTTCCCCAGTAGTCAAATTACGTCTCCATCTACTCCTTGTCCAAGTAGGCAGTACAATTTTGAAAGGCCTCTTTTTCACACTCTCAGGAATTTTCTGCTGTTCTTGTCTGGAGCTTTTCTGACATTTCTTTGGGTTTTAATCTTTTGTTTTGTTTTGTTTTTTAATTTGCATTCTAAATAGAAAAAAAACTGGGATGCATGCAGCATAACCATTTCACTCACCCTCATTTTTTGCAGACGTAAGTACCTATAGATTTAGATACTTCTTGACTCTGCAGACTAGTAGCCATAGGAGCATTTATTCTGTAGTGGTGTGGACTGTGCTTTCAAGTAGATTTAGTGGACTAAAGCCAGTAAAGGAAAAACAGGTGGAGAGAAGTCAGAATTGGGATGTGTCAGAAACTTGGAATTAATCAGGGTCTTGCATAGGCGTGCAGAGTGAAAAACCCAATGAGGTTGGTAGACTTGCTTGCCTTATCTAGATCTAAATTAATGTTCAGCTCTTAGTGGAGACCTGCTGCTCTGAACTCATGGTCAGACAGAGGTTCCTGCCTGCTCCAAGATCTTTGCTAAAAATCTGATCTCTGGATCACAGGTAAAACTTAGTTCCAAACAGGCTGGGCTCCTTTAGTATTACCTACAACAGAGTTAATTTTTTGTGCACATTGCCATATGTATCTTTAAGCAGTACCGTTCGTACTCACTCATTCAGGAATTCATCATGTTGCATTTATATCACGTTCCTTGTTCCCTGACTGTATCACTTAGTCAACATTTTAATTAAAATACTATCACATGTATTGCTGTGAAGGCATAGTTTCCGTGGATTGAGCTCCCTAGTTCTCATTTCCCAGATTTTTGTCCAGGGCAAAACAGGCTTTACACAACACAGCACCACTGCTGGTAGTGGGGGGCATCATTCTACAGGGCTTTCTCTCCCCCCCGCCCCCCGTCCATCACCTTCCATTGCCTTTTCCTTTGAAAACTAAAACTGCAATGTTCTTTTCTACATCATCTTGCTGGCAGCTCTGTTAGGAGTAGTGGGTTCTTGTCCATGGGAAAGCATGTGATTATGCTGAGCCACAATGTAAATTGAAAGGTAGAGGCCATTTCCTATGTTCTGAAATAAATACAATCCATGACAATAAAAAATAAATGCACATAAATACAAGCTAGTTCATCAAAACTCGTCAGTTCTTTTTGCAGGTTTTGGATATATATTGCAGATAGGTTTGAGGTTTATGTTTGGTTTAATTTTTAGCACTGTTCTTAAATAAACTGATTGATTCTGTCTATGTGTTTTGCTTTAGCAGTGTGGTGTTAAACACATCCAAAATTTTTTAGTCAAGTAAAGATTTAACTTTGTCCAAAAA